AAAAAAAAAAAAAAAAGAAAAGCTTTTTTTTTTTCCTCTCTTTAATTTGAAGATCTAATTGGCTTTATGAAGCAATCCATGAATCAGACAGCGTCCCATGTGGCAATGAGAGGGGAGCTCCCAAGGACAGTTTCCTGAAGGGAAGGGGGGTTTGTTCATGTCTTCAGTTTTCTGTGATTTTCTGCCTAAATATTTGAGAATCTTGGCTGTACTTACCTGCAGTGGTAGAACTCTTACCCGTACACATTGTTTTGTTCTATTAGAAAGGCTGTCTTTGGTCGTGACTCTTATTAACTATTCTCTCATTGGTTATTGTTAATCTTTGATCACTGTTAAGTATTCTCCAATGTAAACATTTGTTGAATTGTTGAGTTAAAATCATTGATTTGAAGCGACCACTATTGTAGGTGTGTGAGTGGTTAATCCCCCTTTTTGAGTCCTTTAGGACTTTTGGATGAGTTTATTTTATTAAGTATTCCCATATAACAAATGTTGCAGTAGAATCCTGAAACTTACGTATAATTAAGAGTTAGCTCCTGCTTACTCAGTCCCAAACAGTCCCGACTCTTGTACCCACTGCCTGCCCCATGGGCCAGATGTTCAGAGAGCATGAAGAGGTGTTCACCCACTGACAAGCATCCAGGAGCGGAATCTATTTCCTGGGGGGCCGGCAGGCCACACACAGCAGCCCGTGTTCTATTTTGTGCCAGTGGTGGCATTAAAGAACAGCTTTCAGATGAGTCGGTTTTACTGCCATGCCGATGAGCTCAAACGTTAGCGGGGCCAGGGACTCTCTCCATTCTGGCTCACGGGAATCCTGTCCAGGACTGAGAAGGAGATACCAGTCCGATGCTGGGGCTTCCGGGAGGCCTCCAGGCCATGTGGGAGCATGCATCCTTGCTGTAGCTACAGCAGTATTTTTAGAAATTGGTCCTCAAGAGTCAGTTAGAGTAACTCTCGAGGTTTTGGCTGTAATGTGATTTCCCATAGTCGAAATGCAAACAGTTGTACAAATTGGAAACTTAGAAAACTGTATAACCAGCTCAGGAACAGAATCTAGCAAAGAGGGCATCTTTTACAATAGTGTCTTGTGAGTGTGAGTGTGTTTATACTTGTCCGTATATCCATAAAGGCAAAAACAGAAAAAAGTTTTTAAACCTTTAAAACCTTTTTAAACCTTAAAGGGAGAATCCTTTAGTTGATGGACGTCTCCCCCAGAGTATCATTTCCTTTTTCGTCCCCCATTTGTCTCTGATCACGAGCTCTTTTTCTTTTAAAAAATGTTAAAAATGTTAAAAAATTGCCTTCCCCAAACGAGTATTTTCACAGCTATTCTTTTAACGTTCTTCCTTTTTTTTTTTTTTTTTTTTTTTTTTTTTTAAGTAAGCTCTACACCCAATGTGGGGCTTGAACTCACAACCCCAAGATCAAGAGCTGCACACTCCCCCGACTGAGCCGCCTTAAGTTACTTTTTTTTAAAAACAGGAATAAAATGTAATTTAAATGTTTACCAGAATTATCCACGTCATGGTTTTGAACTGATAACAAATCATATCTCTGGGCTGTTTTGACTTTTTACAAACATACTTTGTGAGCAAACGTTATCCTGATGTTGATTAAAAAAAAAAATTATTTATCCCCAAACTCTGATCATCTAATAGTCCATAAAATATAGAAATGAGAGAAAGAAGGAAACTAATTTCTTAATTTTACAAGTATCAGCCTTATTTTGTCATTGTTTTTCATTTTTCATATTTATTTCTTGTTTATCTGGCCAGTTAATATCCAATGTAAAAATTTTAAGTAAATCAGTATATATGAGATGTATGGGAGTCAGTAAATTCTATTTGCTATCAAGTACTGTAGCTAACGGGCTATAAATTTTAAGTAGCACAATGAAATTTGTTTGTGTGGGGAATATATGGAATGTCTCATTTAGTGGGGAGAGAGGAAAACGAAAGAAGCTGCTTCTATTCCTTCTACAACCGCTTATTGTCATGTTACATGGAATACGTCTTTTGTATCTCTCTGTGCCTCTGGCTTCTCTTCTGTAAAATGGGCTCAAGGATTTAATTGTCTGCCTTCATCCCTTTCAAGAACATTGAGGACAGATACCTTGAAGTCTTTGGAAGACAAAATGCCACGTTGTGTATTTTTTGATATACTAACTTGCCTTGTAAGTATGTACTATACGTTGTACAGAGCGGTGCGTTGTGACCTTGTGAACTTCTTGATGAGAAAAACGTTGTTTGCATGCCTCGATGTTAAACTATAACCTCATTATTCATGTTTTACGCTTTTCTGAACTTGATTCTTTCCTGTCTCACTAGTGCAGTGGGAACTGTCCCTCGGACGTGTCCATGTACAATACCATTATGTGGTGGGAGGTGGGGGTGCTAAGTTTTCGAGGCAGTCTTTTAGAATTTGGCACAGAAGTCCTACAGGTGGATTAGGGATATACCCCAGGTCTGCCGTGTACGGAGAAGAAGGCCTCATCAGTTTAGGGATAGACAAAGAGCCCTCGTTTTTTCATTTTTAGATTTTTCTTCCATATGTTATTACTACCCTACATTCTGACTCCTGGGGTAGAGAGTCAGGTAGAACTTTTTGTTCTTTTTTTTTTTTTTTTTTTTT